ATTTGCGCCCAGGATGGGGCTGTATAAACCATATATTCACTCTGCGTCAGGTGCTATAGCAGCGCCACACATACTGTATGCCGACAATAGCTGTAATCCTGGACTTCAAAAGTGCGTTCGACTCAGTCGATCGACCCATTCTGTTTGAGATACTTGAGCGGAAATGCGTTCCCATGAAATATGTAAACATTTTTCCCTGTACTCTAACACGACAGGCCGCGTAAGGTCTATGGTGACTTATCAGATATCTTTCCAAGAGCAGGTGGCGTTTGTCAGGGCTGTGCCATCCATCCAATTTCGTTCAAATTCGTCGTGAACCCCATCACGGAGTGTTCCCTTGCGGCATCTCACGATGCAGTTGTTGCGAGGCTGTCTGGCGTAAATTTAGTTGATTTTGATTATGCGGACGATATCATCTTGCTGTTTAATTATGTTAGACCGATACAATCAACACTGAATAACCTACTAGATTAGTTCAATAATTTGATATACACTTCGCACCTTCAAGTTGCGGCGTTGTTGTGGAGCCAACAGCCATTTGAAGACCCCCTTGACCCTTGATTGCAAGTAACTCGAGTTAGTTTATCCATTCGCTTAACTTGGCACCTTCATCAGCAGCGATGGGCGCACAACTATTGAAGTCAATACATATATTGCAAAAGTTAGTAATGCCTTCTCGAATGTGCAACATCGGTTGCGCCAGAAGGGAAGTTATCCTCGGTCTGAAAGTGCATGTTTACGTCACAGTGGAGGCTATCCCAGTCTATGGGAGTGAGACTTGGCCTCTTCAGTCTGAGTATCTGAAGTGCTTTCAAGTCTGTTGCCATCATTGTCTGCGAAGCGTTGCTAGTGTCGGATAGCACTTGCGTATCAGCAACGATGATGTGCGTAGGAGAGTGTTAGGAAGCGATTGTCAATCTAGTTCCTTAGAACAACTGCTAGCTTTGTATGTTGCCTTGTCTTTGTCACATAATGCGTGTATGTCCGGCCTTGGGTCAAGCGCTGCTGTGGAGCTCTGGCCTAGTGACAAAGACGGAAGACGTCAACCATTGTGCTGGGCTCTCCTCTCAGCTTGGGCTAAATCCACCTGACGAGTCCAAATCAGGATGAAACTGGTCGGTCGTGGAGTGCAGTATTGGGAGACAACAGGTCCGAAATTTTCCATAGGACCTTGTATTGTTTGCCAGATGTAGAGTGGTACAGGGCTGGATGTGGGCAAATGTTAACTTGGCAGCGCGAAATGAAGGCACTGAATACAAAATTTTATGATGTTGCTCCTTCTTGCCTTCCACTCCGGAGTAAATGCGACCCACCTTGTGCTTGGCGGGTAACGTTACAGAGCATGGATCGTAGTCGGCACGGGTGGCTCGACTGCTATCGTCTCGTGGTCGGACTACCTGTTTAACATGTGTTTACTGCTGAGTTATCTGGGGGGTAATAGCTGATTATGACGCGGGGCAGTGAGAGCCGCAAGTAAGCGCTCACTGACGCCGTATTATTCTTGCAGGATGGATGGCTGTTGGTGACGGTAGGTTGATTACACCGAGGTCGGTGGCAGTCGTGTTTGTGCGATTTGCGGTGATCCCCTTTACCACCCTTAGCAAAAAACTATCAAACTAAACTGAGTGACAATAAAGCAAGAAGAAACAACATTTTAACAGAATTTACTGAATTCAGTAATTTTGCGTATTCTCATCAGCTGTTTACATACAGTTAGTGGAAAACAGTGCGATGTTAACAGCAAAAAATTCAAAGCGGTCGAAGGTCCTTAGGCTCATGTGACCTGTTCCGAGGAAAACGCAATCACTAGCCGCACCAGGGTAGGGCTAGCGTGGTCACGAAATCCGTTTGCTTGCATAGATTCGGCTTCAGCTGCCGAATTGCTGCCGCCTCCGCAAACTGTAGTAAACGGCGATTAGCTTGTTTGCTAACTACCCTGAAATTGCCACGTGGGTTCTGGCATTCAGGGCAGTCAAGTATGTGGCGGACAATAGAGCTAGTCGGTGGCTTCAGACCCTTAGCGATCATGTTTCGCGGAACATGCTCTGCAATCCTCGCTGACAGCCTTCTCACAGTTAAGCCTATGTACTTGCTTCGGCAAGTACAATTAAAGAGGTAAATGCATGAGGTGATAACTTGAGAGTCTGCTCTGTCCAGGTTGGATTTACAGAGCAACCTTCTGACTGGATGCAATACCACTAGCTCAGCCGCATGGTAACACTTCTTAATTGATTGACTGAGGCGATGCCAGCATCTTCGGTCAACTTGATCTCCTTTGAAGGGCAGTGTAATGAATACTTTTTTCTTTGAAACATCGGTTGGTGATTTATCTCCGGATCGTATTTTCGCGTGCCGAGCTATAAATCGCGCTGGTTACCTATCTTCTTTTAGTGTCAAGGTGACTCGTTCTAGTTCACGTGCGATTCTGTCTAATGAGCAAATTTGACGAGCTCTAGTAAAAGTGGTACGTACTAAAGCTCATTTATAGTGCAGTGGGCAAAAGCTATTAAAGTTCAAGTATTGTCCCATCCATATTGCTTTTCTGTACACAGATCGGACGAGTGTACCATCTGGCTTTCTCTGTAAGTTAACATCTATGAAGTGGAATGATCCGTCGGACTCGTTTTCCATTGTGAACTTGAAGGCTGGATGGCACATATTCATCAGTTTCAGTAAGTGCGCCGCCTGTTGAGGTGTGTCAACGACGATGAATATGTCGTCTACATACCGGCAATAAAGGTGTACATTTTGTATATAAGAAGCTAATACAGTGTTTTTCAAGTGGCCAAGGAAGATATCAGCCAAAACTGGGCCCAATGGGCTGCCCAAGGTCACGCCGTCAATTTGTCGATACAGGGTTCCATTGAACCGGAACTGATTATATTTTGTGCGTAGGCGCAGTAATGATTTGAGATGGAGGGCTGAGAACCCGACTTCCTCAGCGTGTCTGGCTATTATATCTAGTGTTTCCTCCAAAGGTACGTTCATGAACAATGAAGATACATCGAGAGAAACCATGTGCTTTTTCTTTACATCCAAATCACTTATCTTGTTGACAAATTAAAAAGTGTCTCTTAGACTGTAGCTCTCAGTGCCCTCCGGAAGGCCTCGATAAGTTTCGCTAGCCATTGCGCTAATTTTTGGTATGGTGTGTCTACCATTGAGGCGATTGAACGTTTTGGGACACCTTTCTTATGAGTTTGCGGTAAGATACATGTGGGGAAGCCTTGATCCCCGTGGGCGTATCTGGGTGAGGAACTGGGCAATTAGTTCTTACCTTTATCTTGTTTCCCAATTCCGCCATGATCCCGATGCCTATATATATATATATATATATATATATATATATATATATATATATATATATATATGCTGAGGCTGCTGTAGCATTCACCATGCTTCTTCACCGCATTTGGGCTAAATCGACACACTTAAACTAGGTCCTTTTTGTGGGGATAAAATTCATTATACTTTATTTGGTTTGTACTGCGTACTTGATAATCTTCTCTTAATTTGCACATGTCGCCCATGCTAATTGTGGTAACCTTGCGTAACTTTATCACGTGGTAATTTTCAAATAACTTCTGGACGCTTTGTGCTTCTCGCGAATTTGCTTATAACCAATTTACTCCATATGCTAATTTAGCAAGTATTTATATCGTTATATATGTTTCCCTTATTCGATATCTTTTATATGATATTGGCATTTCGAATGATTGGCTGGTGTTTCACATGCCAGATGTGGCTGCGCTTGATATGCATGTTGACAAGGTGCCTACCTGTCTGTTACCCACTACCTCGTCCATACTGGCTCCAGGAGACAGTTGATCGTTGCTGGAGGGGACGGGGTGCACGGTCCTTGTGGTCGTACTAGGCTCGAAGATTGGTTCCATGAACTCAGTGTGGAGCGGACTACAGTCCAGCCACCGCCTTGTGTGCACTTGATTCCCCAAATACAGTGTGCTTGTGTTTGTCTATGAAGGGGTGTGGGCTGGCTCCGTTGATGAAACGTGGCTCCCATCCGCATGCCTCCCGGTCTTATTCCTCCGGGTTTACACTGGATATGGGGCGTGTGGATGGAGCTGTGGGTGGTGCAGCGCAAGCCATCCATGGTCCCTCTGTAGGCGCAGGTGTCCTGTGACTGTCCCCATGGACGTCACAGTGACAGGCAAATCCGGATACGGACGCCGCCAAATCATATATATATATATATATACATATATATATATAAACTACAGTCTATGAACAGCGAGCTCCTCGACTTCTGCTTGCTTGGATCTGCGACAGCACACGAGGCTATGAGAACCAAGACCTTAAAGCTGCGCTGATGATGTTGTCTAGCCCCGAAACAAAAAGTCTGCAGCCAAGACACTCACTGAGAGAAAAACCCAGTACGTTTATCCATTTACCGAGCTACAAGTAAACCTAATTGCTTCCACTCAGTTTCAAGGCTATACATTCCGTCCGGTTTTGGGAATCTTGTCTGCAATATTACCACTAACTTTTATATGCACCCGCAAGCACACGTTTTCACAAGACATCCTGAAATACATCCAAAATGATCGATGCAAGTATAAAACTTGATTACACGGTCGTCAACCGGTTTGAAGGCTACGGTATTCTTGCGGTACGGACAACACCCAGTTTTCGTTACACTATGGGGTGCTTGTTTTGGGCGATAAGAGCAACCTAATTTGAAAGCCATTCATAATGCGTAGTGCATCCGTCTTTTTGAGCATTAGAGTGTGAGCAACCGTATCCCGTGTTCTTCAGTTTGGCTAATGTTGTGAGACCATTTTGATTAAGTTTTACTGTGAAGCATGGAGCGGGTATGTTAGTACCAATGAGACTGCGCCGTTGAGTAACCTCAAAAGATAGAGAACCGCATTCCTAGCACGAGGTCTGTACCATGGTCGAGGCATTTCATTCAAACAATCCGTTGTTACTGCTTTTGGTCAATCACCTGGTGCTCATTTGCACATCTTATCTTTTGCTTACAGATACTGTGTATTATCAGAGCAATACAAGGTCACTTGGAACGATTTGTGTTCGAAGGAACAGAGCTAAATTTGAACCCCAACTGCTACGTTTGTATCACAATGAACCCCGGCTATGCTGGACGATCTGAGCTGCCGGACAACCTGAAGGTATGTAAAGTTTCTGAACGGATGACCCTATGTAGTTCTGTGCAACAAGTTGAACGATTTTGACTTTATCCAATGTTCTATTTCTCACAATACACCGTGTAATCTGACTTAATACACTGTACCACTAAGAGAACTAACCAATTCGGTTCTTTTGATCACCGTTCCGCCCACTTCAGGTGCTATTCCGTCCCGTGGCTATGATGGTCCCTGACTACGCCATGATTGGTGAAATATCGCTCTACTCTTTTGGCTTCATGGACGCCCGAAGTCTATCCGTCAAAATTGTCACAACGTATCGATTGTGCTCAGAACAGCTCTCCTCGCAGTCACACTACGATTATGGAATGCGTGCGGTGAAGGCTGTGCTGTCGGCTGCCGGTAACTTGAAGCTAAAGTTTCCAGACGAAAATGAAAACATCCTGGTGAGTAGTTGTCATACCATTCTCCAGTGCTGTTGGAGAAAAAAGTGGCTTGTTTCCGGTGAGCAAATCCAGTTATCTCTTGTTTTAAGCTTACACCCAGTTTGCTAAGGTTGAGGGGGCACAGCAGAGGCGTAACAAGGGAACGGTCCGCTCGGGACGGCATGTGACAGGAGGCGGTATTTTTAGCACAGATGAGTGTTCGATACCAAGTATAAACCGCAAAACTCCCAGACAAGCCGATAATGAAATATCTCAATAATGATCTGGGTAAACAATAACACATTTGCACCATCTGTCACACTTGCCTGTCGTCTGTCTTCTAGCCTTTACACACATCTGACCAGTTACACATCACCACCCATTGCGGTCTCTCTCTCGTCTTGAAGAGCAGAGTATACGATGCAGCTGTCCGTTAAATCCCCCTGTACGGTTGCGAAACCTGGCCCATCAAGTCGACAGACATAAGACGCTAGTCACGTTCGACCTCGCTGCCTCCGCAGCTTAGCTCCTGTCTGGTGGGAACACCGTGTGAGCAATGAGCGTGTTCGGCGTCGAGTATTTGCTGTAGGAAGTGCAAGTGAACCACTCAACACCGTTATATCACGCACCAAGCTCCGATGGCTGGTCCTCGTGTTGCGCATCACAGCACACCGGCTTCCGCGATCGTTATTTGCGCGCCGGGGTGTAGATGGAAGAAGAGGAAGGGAGGCCAAATGATGACTTGGTCAAGAGGAATGTAGACCCTAGCTTCGAACATGGCCTCGGTTGATGTCTGCCGTCTGCCGGGCTGGGGACCGAAAGACCATGAACACGTCTGGGTGGATACACTAGTTGATATGGCAAGGATTCTACCTCAGTGGCGTTGATGTTGTGAGCTTCCTCGTCCATCCCCTCCCCTTTAGATTCCCCCTCCAACTACGAGCTCGGTCTTGAAGCATAATGCAATCAACCCTATCTAAGGCGGCCACTCAAGGAACGGACAAGTATATATATATATATATATATATATATATATATATATATATATTATACACAATCTGTGGTACAGATATTGTGCCATCGGAATCATGGCTGAATAGGAAAACATATGAATAATAAGAAAAGAGCAACAAGAAATGTTTTTTTGTCAAGTTTACCACTCACAGTTTTTGAATTTTTTTCAGTTTGTTCATTTTTAGGGGGAGGAGGAAGGGACACCGCAACACACTGATGCACACGTCCGCCATTGACATCGATCTTGAGCCATAACTTCCAAGGTTTTCAACCAGCAAGTATCCTCGTCTCTCGGACCCCAACCAGGTAGTCGACAACAACCGGCCGAGGCCAATTGTTTCGTCAACTTTTTCATGCGGCTTCTCCATGTTTTAGGCTGTCCACCAGACCGTCTCTTCCAGCCCTGTCCAGCAAGTGCAAACAACGCACGACGGGGGTAACGCTGGACAGGCATGCGCAATACGTGTCCCAACCACCGCAGTTGATGCAGTGAGATGAGCTCCTCGAGCGAGTGGCTTCCACGTCCCAAGACACGCTGTCTAACTTCCACATTGCTTACGTGGTGTTGCCACCACACACGGGCAATGGACCGCAGACAGCGGTGCTCGAAGACGGATAGCCTGCGCAAGTCATCTTTACGAATGGGCCAGGTCTCGCATCCGTACAACAGTACAGCACGAACAGTTGCACAATAGACCCGCCCTTTGATGGAGAGACGAATGTCGTGGCGACGCCACAAATGCCTCAGCCTAGAAAAAGCGAGGCTTGCTTTCGAGATGCGCATCGAAATCTCGTCTCCAACAGCCCCGCCAGCAGTGATGCAATTTCCCAAGTAGACAAAGCTCTCCACAACCTCCAGTGTCTCACCAGCAAGCGTGAGTGCAGGCAGAGGCACCTGCCAGTCTTGAAGGAGAGCCTTGCATTTGGATGGCGAAAAGCACATACCATACTTTGATGCTTCAATCGTCAAGCGGTTTAATGCAAGTTGGACGACCTGTGGATCGTCACCCAGCAAGACGATATCATCAGCATAATCCAAATCAACAACTCGACTACCTGGGAGGAGCTTGTAGGAGCGCTGCTTAGGTGCGGAGTCCAAAATTAGCCATGTCCCGTCGTTCTTACTGGATGTTAGAAATAAAATCTTGTTGGTATCCCAATGATATATTTTGGGAGACTCCCGAAAATACACAACGACAGTAGGGCAGAAAGATTGCACAGGGAAAACACAGGTGGTGTTTGGCTAGATGGTATAAGCCAGAGTTCAAAGTAAGTTGTCCATTGATTGTATACACATCAATAGCTTTTGAATGATGTGGTTAGAGTCACATGATTGTGGCTAGTATCTTCCCTGTGCGAAGAGAAATAAGCTAAAAATAGCAAAATAAGTTAAAGCTCCTACATACCTCCCCACCAGTGCGGTAGCCGCACGGTGATAAGCGACCAGGAGTAAAAAACCCCGGTGGGAATTGCCGGGAAAACTGACCTCTACCTGATACAGTGTCGCTTAAAATGCCCGAGGCTGAGGCACAGGAGGCATGCAGGTAAAGTTGTTAGCGAAGATACAATGAAAATGTGGGAGCAGAATGTAGTAGTGCAACAAGGATGTTTGAGTTGCGAGTGTTGTCCAACGCAATCCTTCTGCCTTTTGTCGACATGAGAATCTTCTTATTCGTGCTAAGGTTGTTCTTTCCTCTCCTGGCAAACACTGGAAAGCAACGAGCAGGAAAGAAAACTGGCAGCAGGCAGTATAACAAGATAGACAGCACGGAAAGTTGTTATTCTCAAGATGTCTAATACGCTAGACGGTCTGGAAAATGAACTTTTCTACCTGACCGTGTTTGCCGCGTACTAGTCTCTTTTGGCTTAGCTTCGAGGATATTAGTGAGATCTCGAAAGAGGGTTGGTTCAAATTGCGCCCCGCGATCCGTTGTTATGGTGGATGGGACACCATAATGTGCGATCCAATGAGCCACAAAGGTACGTGCTACCGTCTCTGCGGAAATGTCCGCGATGGGTACTGCCACGGGCCAACGAGTGTAACGATCGATGCAAGTAAGTAGGTACTTAAATCCACTCGACGGCGGCAGCGGACCGACGGTGTCGATGTGCACGTGACTAAAACGAGCATCGGGAACGGTGAACTCGCCAAGAGGTGCCTGTGTATGGCGGTGCACTTTTGAACGCTGACATGGGAGACAATTCCTCACCATGGTCTGCACGTCTTTGTTCAGTGCCGGCCACACGAAACGATCGGAGATGAGTTTGCGCGTTGCACGGATGCCTGGATGTGATAGACCATGTAATGAATCAAAAATGATTCGCCGATAGGTCGGTGGAACTACAGGTCGTGGCTTTCCTGTAGAAACGTCACACATCAGAACATCCGAACTATCAGGCAGCTGAATGGGTTTCACCTGTAGATTAGTTTCTCGAAGTTGTTGAAGAAACTGCTTATCCTGATGCTGTGTTGTGGCTAGTTCTTGAAGATCAATGGGGGAATGCTCAAGGAGGGTATTGATTTCCGCCCGTGATAGGGCATCTGCTACGGTGTTGTTCACACCGGACAAATGCCGAATGTCGGAGGTAAATTGGGAGATATAATCTAGTTGTCTAGTTTCTCGTGGGGAAGTCGATCAGAAGCAGAACGCAGTACATACGTTAGCGGCTTGTGATCGGTGAATATCGTGAATGTACGCCCTTCCAAGTAATGTCGGAAATGACGCACATTGAGATAAATAGCTAGGAGTTCTCTGCTGAACGTACTATAACGTCGTTCGGCAGGCTGCATTTTCTTAGAGAAAAAGGCAACTGGATACAATTCACCTCCCTGTCGCTGTTGGAGCACACCACCTACTGCTGCATCTGAAGCGTCTACCGTTAACTGTAACGGAGCCTTCGGATCAAGATGCACGAGGAGAGTGGCAGTTGCTAGCTGATGTTTTAGATCACTGAATGCCCGCTTAGCTGATTCCGTGAAGCTGAATGATTTAGCATCTAATTTGAGTAGCTCGGTAAGTGGCTGGGCTAACTCAGAACAGTGTGGGATGAAACGTCTGTAGAAGTTAACCATGCCTACAAACCGACGTAACTTTTTGATGGAATCGGGGATAGGGTATTCTGGGATGGTTGTCACTCTGTCGGGTAGGGGTGTAATTCCGGCGGAGGAAACACGGTGACCAAGAAAGTCTACCGTATCAACACCAAACTGACTCTTGGAGGCATTGATAACCACCCCATAATGCGCAAATCGCTCGAACAGTTGTCGCAGATGACGCAAGTGTTCTTCATGGTTATAACTTGCAACCAAAACATCGTCAATGTAGACGAAAACAAAATCGAGCTCACGAATAACCTGATCCATAAAACGCTGAAATGTTTGAGCTGCATTGCGGAGACCAAATGGCATTCGCAAGAACTCAAATAAGCCAAAAGGTGTAGTAACGGCAGTCTTATGAACATCTTGAGGATGGACAGGAATTTGGTAATATGCTCGTGCTAAATCTATCTTACTGAACACGTGTTTTCCGTATAGCGAGGAAGAGAAATCCTGGAGATGCGGAACGGGATACCTGTCTGGGACGGTGTTAGCGTTTAGTCCCCGATAATCCCCACAAGGTCTCCAATCCCCAGGCTGGTTTTTCGGGACCATATGTAGGGGCGATGCCCATGTACTGCTGGATGGACGTATTATGCCCAACTGTAGCATATGGTCGAATTCAGCCTTCGCTACGGAAAGTTTATCGGGCGCTAAACGCCGCGGACGATGGTAGACTGGACTACCTGTTGTCGTTATCCTATGGACGATCTCATGTTTGACATCACCGGGTTGGTATCCAGGCTTTGTTAAGCTGTTAAACTCTCGTAACAAATCCAAGTACTTTGGAGTGGCTCGTGGTGGGGCAAGCTGCGGACTCATAGACATAATGGAACCTTTAAAACCAGCCCGAGATATTTGCGTTAGGCCATCAATGATTTGGCAGCGCTTGGGATCGACAATAATGCCA